ATGGAAATGCATACAGCTGAGTCGTTAGTACCTAAGCCTAGTCTCTTCGAGGTTGAAATTGTTATTGCAAAGTTGGAAAAGTATAAATCGCCAGGTAGTGATCAAATTCCGGAAGGTGGTGAAATATTACGGTCTGAGATCACTGAACGCATTCATTCTATTTGGAATAAGGAAGAACTGCCCGAGCAATGGAAGGAGTCTGTTATTGAACCAGTTCTCAAGACGTACGTTATAACTGACTGCATTAATTATAGGTTAGGCAATTTCAAGTTTAATTTTAAATAATTTTCCATTGAAATTTCAATGGGCTTTAAGCTTGCAGAATTTATTACAGTAAATACATAATACTTCTTCATGTCAACACCTATTTAATGACAACTTTGTATATTATTTAGAAGCCTGAAGAGTTGTAATTCTTACCGGACTACAGTTCTCACATGCGTTATGTCTGTACCGTTGCATTCTAAATGCAAAATCAGATATTGTCACCGCTACAATATTTTTAATTGTTGATTTAGAATCAAAATTTAATATGGAATGTACATCATCTAGCCCCACGTCAAATTTCAGAAACCTAACACCAATGGTTCATTGGTTCTGGCTTACAAATCGAAGACTAAATAGTATATTTCGGCATCCTCTTGCACTGGGGCACAATTTTAAATTGTAAGGTATTCCGTCTGCAATGCAACAAAGCCAATCCTTTTTAAGACATTAAAATGAAAACTAAAAAGTGTTGCGACCACCCTGGTGGTATGACTGATTGCAAGAAATTAAAAAGTATGAGTTTCGGGTAGTCCGTAGTAGCATAACGCGGACACCAAATTTCACCAAAATCCGTCCAGCGGTGCTATAGTTCAAACGTGCGGACACACAGTCACGGCCGACCATGTATGCATTTATTTCGTACACGTCAAGCAAAGAAACATAAAATGAGTTTTCGGTGTCAATACAAATGTTGTTTAATATTTAAACTGCCGAAAAAGGCCAGGCACCAGAGTTATCGTTGAGAAATGTCCGTTCAGAAACGAAATACTCGTTTCTGGTGGATCGTCGCAAAAATAAGCCATGTATCTCTGTCGGCAGGTCCGCCGAACGGATTTCCATTAAATTTCGCACTGCAGAGTTTTACTATAAAATGTGTCCACATATTCCAGTTTAGGGTAAAATCGGCAAAGAATAAGGAATACTTTACTTGGCCTTCGTGTGTTTCTGCGAACATCTCTAACGTATTTCTTTATTGCTATGGGTTGGAACTAAGTCCCTTGTACTGTGGCCCACTTCTGGCCTATGGTACCAGCCCCAGATGATAGGTGAGTGTGATTGTGGAGCAATTGGTGGAATGAAGATTGGCAGGGGAAACCGAAGTACTCGTAGAAAACTCGCCCCAGCGCCACTTTGTCCACCAAAAATCCCACTTGACCAGACCGGGATCGAACCCGGGCCGCCGCGGTGGGAAGCCAGCGACTAACCGCTTGAGCTGTGGCGCGGCCCCTCCTCTAACGTAACTCAAGAAATATTTATCGGAACGAAATATGTTTTACACAAAAAGTTGAAAAGAAAAATACAACATATATCTTATATCCAGTACATTTCCGCGTAAGTGTTACGGTTCGTGATATAATTAAATACTAGTGAGCAAAACGCGGAAGAATTATTACGCGCAAACAGGGTGCACCTGTAGTATTTTTTTAATTCGTTTAGCGGGGGTGGAGTCCAACTGGGTCCACTCGGCACGGCGGCCACTGATTGGCCTATTGTAGCCTGCTGCGGGTGATGATGATGATGGAGAATTTGGTGGAATGAAGATTGGCAGGGGAAACCGAAGTACTCGGAGAAAACCCGCCCCAGTGTCACTTTGTCCACCACAAATCCCACTTGACCAAACCCGGGCCGCCGCGGTGGGAAGCCAGCCACTAACTGCTTGAGCTATGGCGTGGCCATCGCACCTGTAGTTGTTCAGCGTAATCAAACCAGCAACGGAGCTACTGACCTTCATCTTACAATCAATAACAGTCGTAGCGGTCTTGAGCCGCTCGATCGTTGCGATCGCCCGTTCGAATCCCGCTCGCAACGTCAACGTAAACATCCGGGCTTTTTATTTTGACCCGCGATTGAATGGTGCACAATCAAGGAGCCCCTCCGAATTTCCTGATGATAAACCCTTTCCAGTCTGAAATTCCTTAGTCGTTAGTGACTTACAGACCCATTACTGGGCAACGACTCTGTAAACACAGTCCCGCTGAAACCAACGCGCGGAACAGTAGGGCACCTATTGCTAGGCAACGGATCAGTAAACACGCCTAAAACAATATGAGACAATGGAAGACGGTATTTTCTGTGGGGTCCTAGAAGGTGCTATATAACGAAAAGTTCCAAGGGAGCTCCTAGTTCCGTTTATAGTATACGTACCACCGCCAAAACGACCGTTCAAGTGACCAGACTGCCGCTGTAGCGGAAGCTACTAGAAATAGGGCACAATCTGCTGTACTGAGCCTGGACTGACAGAGGCCCTGTATGTATTTTATATACATTTATTAACATGTTAACATGTAAAAGGCAAATATCCTTTACATTATGACAAATGACTTACTACTGCAATGACTCTGACAAAAAACAGACCCGTCCTCTCGTCAGAGAGGGCGCCCCACAATAACAAGATCGTAACAGCAAAACAGTAATAAATATCTGGTCATGAGCCCCAAATTGGGCTCGACACCAAGACTGACTGACTGACCGTCAGTCGCAATGTGACTTTGACTTTATGCAGTTAGTTGTCGTCGAGTATTTGCTAGAGTTCTGGAGATGGCAGTCGAAGGTGATTGTGAAGGGATGACAAGAAATGAATTAGGCTGTAGAAATAAGAGTTTATGTGTGATCTGAAGTGACAGTGAGACAGTTTTAAATCCGTTGCCGAAATACGACTAGTGAAGACAGATAACCCTGGTGCGTGTGTAACGGTGAACTGTAAAGTGTGTGATAGCGCTGTACTGCCTGTAGTCCCGAGTTGTATGAATAAATAAATCCAATCATCCAACATAAAATCAGTCTCATAATTCACGCACGCCCGCCCACACGTTACAATACACAAGGATACTTCATCATGCTCTGTGATTAATAAGTTCTAACGGGTTTATGAAAGCCAAGCGCTGCGGACTGGAGCTCTGGAACTCGACCGATAAACAAACGCGATTTTTGGAGGGTAAAGATAATCGATTACTCTGTGACTGGCACAATACAGCCCCAAAAGTTGTACATATCTCTGGACCAGGATTTCTTTCTGTTATGTAACTGTGCAGGGAACAAGGATAGCCCAGTCAGGGTAGTAACCTGGCTGCAGGCAGAACGATCAGAAAATCTGGGTTAGGTTCTCGGCAGAGGCAGATTTTATTTATTTACAGAGTCTAGACCGGCTCTGGGGCCCACAAAGACTCCTATACAACGGGTACCAGGGTCTCTTTCCTAGAGGATAAGGCGACAATTCCATGCCATATAGCGCGGAGGTTAAGTATGTATGGATCTACGCTTCTGTTCCCCCCATACATCTGCACGACGTGACACTTAAACGCAGGAATGGCTTACCTTCTCCTTATCTACTTATTTATGCTTTAACGATGCTTTCTGTGGTTTTATTGTACCGTACCGAATCGAATTACAGGATAATTCGATTCCCAATAAGGTCATTGGATTTTTCAATTCACCTAATCCTTCCAGCCACACTATGGCCCTGGGGTCATCTCAGCCCCTAAAAGAAATGAGTACCAGGAATCTTCCCAGGGGGGGTAAAGGCTGGCTGGCCTCATAAGTCTGACAACCTCACTGCCATCTGTGAGCCCACTGTCTAGAAAATGTGAAAGCCTCGACGTCTCACAACCATATGGACCTCCACGGCCCGTTACAAGGACTGCTGTACCTATTTTTACCTTTACCCTAAGGGTAGGGCAGGTCCCTCCAGAAAGCTGACATTACTAAACTACTGGGTGTGACACCAAGCATGTCCTTGTAATGTTAAAGCTCAACTTGTATTAGGAAGCCGATGGGTTTGAATCTTGGTTGGGGCCTCTGCTATTCTAACTAAGATATTCTCCTGTTTTCCTCAGTTGTTCCATGCAAATTCCGGTATGGTACATTGATTAGGCCTCGTCAGCTTCCCTCCAAATCCTTTGTAATTCATCCAAAATCCGACTAATCGACATTGCATTGCCTGAGTCACTGATGTCATCAAATAAACTACACAATGTACATGGTGTCACATCCCAGAAGGCAACAATCTTCATAGAAGTTCACATTTCACTCTTCTGTTATTGTCTGGGGGCAGGACACGTTATATCTTAATTTAGTCTCAAAAAGAACAGATGTAATTTTAAAGTGACCTGTACTTCAACAAAACTATAACTTTGCCTGTGGTTCTGTATGGGTGCGAAACTTGGTCTCTGACATTTAAGGAGGAACGCAGACTGAGGGTGTTTGAGAACAGGGTGTTGAGGAGAATATTTGGACCGAAGAGAGATGAAGTGACAGGAGGTTGGAGAAAACTGCATAATGAGGAGCTTCATAACTTGTACTCTTCTTCAAATATAATTAGAATGATCAAGTCAAGGAGGATGAGGCGGGCAGGTCATGTAGCACGAATGGGGGAGACGAGGAATGTGTATAGGATATTGGTGGGAAAGCCAGAAGGAAAGAGAAAACTGGGAAGACCAAGGCGTAAGTGGGTGGACAATATTAAAATGGATCTTAGAGAGATAGGATGGGATATGGATTTGATTGATCTGGCTTAGGATAGGGACCAGTGGTGGGCTCTTGTGAACACGGTAATGAACCTTCGGGTTCCATGAAATGCTGGAAATTCTTCAGTAACTGCATAATTGGTGGCGGCTCCTCAAGAAGGGCTCAGTTCCATGAGTAAGTAAGTAAGTAAGTAAATACTGCAAGCACCTGATCCCAGACACGCCATATGGACGCTGTAAGGTCTGTGATACAGACGACTAAACACTCACCAGCTGTCTGTCTGGTCTGGTCCCTAGCTGCCTGCTCCTCCCACCTGCAACAGGGAACAAGCATGTTCTAATTATCTTATGAGATAATTCTAACTCCATGATACAAATAATATTTTAAGGTCAAGGAAGATGAGATGCGCAGGGTATGTAGCACACATGGGGGAGAACAGGCAAAAAGACACAGAGTTTTTGTGGGGAAACCAGAAGGAAGGGGATCATTAACAATATCTAGACGCGGATGGGAGGATAATATTAAAATGGGTCTTAGAGAAAGAGAATGGAGTGGTATGGACAGAATTCATACAGCTCAGGACAGAGACCAGTGGAGGTCTCTTGTGAATCCTCGAGTTCCATAAAATGTTGGGAAATTCTTGAATAGCTGAGCGACTGGAAGATTCTCAAGAAGGACTCAGAGAAGAAGTATTAGCAGAGCTGAAGAGTGAAGCCTGAAGACTCTGAAGCATTGACAAGAGAGAGAGAGAGAGTGACTGAGGGCAAAAAGAAAATATTGGGGAGTAGCAAGAGACATCTCAGTATAAGTGGAGTAGAGGAAAACAGAAAAAATTTTCCTGCTCTGAAGGTTCTCACGCATGACCTGCTCATCCTTATGGTAAAGTGTATTAGTGCATTTCAGATAGGGTAAAGCTTTGGGAAGTGAGCAAGATAAGGCATTATGAAACAGTCTTCTTATGAGCAGAGAAAAGAAGCTGATCATGAGTTTAACTGGGTATGGTCAGAATTTCTGTATTAATGTACAAAGGTCTATATTAGGGGATTCATCTAACAACAATTAAAAGTTCAGTTCGTACCTCACAGAAAACAGATTGCGGCTTTATTACATACTTCAAATGGTTAATACTGTTTAGGGAAATAATCACTGTTTATTCTGGAAATCATTTTATTTAGTCTAATAACATCACTCTCATCTGTGAGCTGATGTGGGAACCTCAACATCTCACAACCTTATAGGCCTCCACGTCCTGTTACAGGGATCGCTTTGCCCCTTTCATTTGTAATTTATACAAGGACACTGTCAGTGACCGTGACTATGGGCCTATGGCATCGAATGGTTGGGTGACAGAGACTAATAAAATGCAAAGAATGTGATAGGCAACGATCGTGGTATAAATTAAGGTACTATCCCAGCACTTGGCTAGAAGGATTGAGAAGAACTGCAAAAGACCTCAGTCATAATATTCGGTGTCCCAGCCAAAATTCAAACTACTCAGCTCTCAAACACAACTCAGAAGCACTATCAATTAAGCCATCTCATTTGTGAAACATTAAAGCTGGTTTAGAAGCAAGAGATATGAAGGTGAAGACAAAGCCATTTCTCTTCTTAATTAAGCTTGAGACCATAGAGACCTATTGGAGAACTGACGTACAGCTTTCAAGACTTTTAACCACAAAACTAGGAGTGAATGATGGAATGAAATTATGTACATGAGGCCTATGAGGAACTTACCCAGCATTAGGCAACATCTGAATATTTATGGACATGTTTTTGAAGAGGTTAGAATATTTAAATATTCTAGTGCTTTGATAACAGGGGAAAAATAAATCTGGTGAAAAAAAAATTAACATTGGAACTGCTGCAGGCAGTCATGATTACTGTGGATCACAACATATTTGTAAGTCTAAAGCTGTTAAAACCAATTAAGTTCAGGCATGTGATAGTATAAAAGATTATCAACTCTGTCCAATGTGACTGATAATTTTTTGTTTAATCTTTCATCCTTGACATGTTTCGATAGGAGCAACCATCTTTAGGAGGACATATCAATACATGCAGAAACTACTATTACAAAGTGATTGGTCATTGTCAATGCATACATACAATATCATGACTGGATGGAGTTGCTAATCTTTTATACTACTGCTGGTGTGACGGACCAGGATGAATCAAATCAAATTTATCAGGCATGTGATATGTACCATGGTCCATGGCTGAAAAGAATAAAGTTGTGTTAAATATGTGGGAGGAAAAAAAAAAGTGTATATAGGACCAAGAAATGATTCAAAGACTCAGAATTAACCAAGACTTGAGGGAATTATATAAAACCCCTGACCTGGCAGTAGATATTAAAATAAGGTTGGAGTGTTGGGGACATGTGGTTTGAATTGATCAAAAATAGGTGGCTAGGAAGATGTTTAAAGTAAGCCAAAAGCAGAAGTGAGAAGGCCCATACTGAGAGGGCTGGAGGATGTAGAGAATGATTTAAGAGAGATAAAGATCACAAGAATGAGAGGAAATGCTGGTAATATAGGAGAATGAGCATATATTGTAAAGGTGGCCAAGGTTCCTAGAGAACCACACGGACATGGGGTATGTAAATAAGTGAAGATACATGTTTCACTAAAAGGTTAGGTTAGGTTTCTTTTAAGTTTCTTTTGGTAAGGTGAGACTGAGTCCTCTTGGTACTTCAGCCACTAATTGGTCTACTGTACCAGCCCCAGATGATAAATGAGTATGCAGCATTTGGTGGAATGAGAACTGGCAGGGGAAACAGAAGTACTCGGAGAAAATCTACCCTAGTCCACTTTGTCTACCACAGATCCAACATGACCTGACCTGTGCTTGAACCCGGGTTGCCAAAGTGGGAAGCCGATGACTAACTGCCTGAGCTGTGGCATGGCCAGCCACTAAAAGGTTGGTACCCTCCTACCCTAATGACATAGTGTCATAAGCCAGAAGACCAAAATATGACAAGGTTAGTTCCACAAGCAACAGAAACTTAAGCATTATCAGACACTACTAGATAACTGAAGTTATATAATAAATAGAGTAACCTAAAAAGATGTTAAGAAAATTATCTTAACACTGTGGTTGAATCTATGACACTATAACTATTTTTTGTTTATATTGTGCAGTTAGAAGTTGAAACTGCTGTTGACCCACCCAATCTTTTAGGTATCAAGACCCATCATCCAGTTTTCACTATAATTCATTTACAATTTTCTATCACATTCATTAGATTTAGGTTTTGAGAGTTTTGGAATGTGGCAACCGCTGTGATTTAAGGGGTTCATTTGAACATACAGTAAAAGATCACTCCTGTATACCCATGTGAAACCATGCAAGCACTGATTTCAAATATTAAAAATCCCTTGCCTCCTTATGTACCACTACAGTGTTTCATTATCGCAACAAAACAATTCTCTATTAACACTTATATTGCAAATTTTAAACTTATCATGGCACGCTTATAACTCTCGGCATGAATACTCAAGTATGTAGAAATTCTGACATGTTTCTGCAACTTTCCGCCACAGCATTCAACCAATCACGGAGGATATCACCCCTTTTTCTCCGCCAGCACCGAGTCATCTCGTTGTTATATATACGAACACTGTCATTTCACACTGTGGAATTGCATTTCAAGTAAATAAATTTTAATGTTAATCCTAATTTATAAATACATAAGGTGATAAAAGTAATTCGCATTATAATACCAACCCTTAAGAATTCGCTTCATAAATCGCGCCGAAAACCAAGATGTTATAGACGTCCCGCTGTGTAATGGAATTTCAAGGTGGACGTGCATCGGGTAGTATGAAACAAAGTGAGAGATCGACAGAATGGCACAGATGTGACAGTAATAGTTGTCACAGCTTAGACATAACGGTAGAGAATAAACAATATTCTTACTTCTCAACACCCTGGCTACATCCGTGCAAAACGTTCATAGAATGCTGGGCCCCTATTATATAACTGTCCACAAATCTAACCTAATTACTTACGATATTTAGCCGCAATCTTATTTTTTGTTACACAACATCCCGTGGAACTACGCTGCGTGCTTTGCTACCATGTCATGCAAGTATGAGGGTTTCCTGTCTCAGTTGCTTCAAATTGCACTGAAGAAATAATTCCTGACATCTATTGCACTCCTGTGGAAAATTAAATGGCGGCAAGTTCAAACCCTTAATTGTGTAACACAAAGGCAAATCTTAGCCGACTTCATTATGGAAAGAAATTATGCCTACGAGATAATGAATTGCATGTGTGCGTGTCACTCTTTTCACATCTCGAACCAACTGACAGAGTTTCAAGAAAGATAAATTGGAAAACACTCAGAAGCCTTACTTTCTAATTCCCTAGATCAGAAATGTCATGAAGATGTGCATAATTTTAAGCCGGAAGTAACACCAGCGCCTCTTAATTTAGGGTCCTAATATGTTGTATGTAAGGAAAGAGGAACACACAAACTTTAACTGACGCTAGTAAAAAGGTTGGTCTCGAAGTAAACGCAGAGAAAGTTAAGTATATGTTGTTGTCTGGTCACCAAAATGCAGGGAACATCGTGGTATAAAGATAGGTAATAGATGCTTTGAAAATGTGGCACAGTTCAGATATTTTGGAACGACGATAGCAAATCAAAACCTGATTCAGGATCAAATTAAAAGGAGATTGAAGTCGGGCTATGTTTTCTACCATTCAGTCCAGAACCAATTGTCCTCTCATCTGCTGTCTAGAAACATAAAAATCAATATATACAAAACTACAATGTTGCATGTGGTTCTGTATGGGTGTAAAACTTGGTCTCTGATATTAAGGGAGGAACACAGATTGAGGGTGTTTGAGAAGAAGTTGTTGAGAATATTTGGACCGAAGAGAGATGAAGTGACAGGAGGCTCGAGAAAACTGCACAATGAGGAGCTTCATAACTTGTACTCTTCTCCAAGTATAACTGGAATGATCAAGTCAAGGAGAGTGAGATGGGTAGGGTATGTAGCACGAATAGGGGGAAGAGGAATGCATATAGGATATTGGTGGGAAAACCAGAGGGCAAGAGACCACTAGGAAGAACAAGACGTAGGTGGGCGGACAATATTAAAATGGATCTTAGAAAGATAAGAAGGGATGGTATGGACTGGATAGATCTGGCTCAGAATAGGGACCAGTGGAGGGCTCTCGTGAACACGGTAATGAACCTTCGGGTTCCATAAAATGCTGAGAAGTTCTTGAGTAGCTGGAGAATTGGCGGCTCCTCAAGGATGGCTCAGCTCCATGGGTGAGGAAGTGAATCACTCAGTCACTGGT